GCTAAAATATTAGTGGAAAACATACAGATAGATATATGGACAGAGAGAGAGGGAAAGGGAGAGGGAGAGGGAGAGGGAGAGGGAGAGGGAGAGGGAGAGAGAGAGAGAGAGAGAGAGAGAGAGAGAGAGAGAGAGAGAGAGAGAGAGAGAGAGAGAGAGAGAGAGAGAGAGAGAGAGAGAGAAAGAGAGAGAGAGACAGAGAGAGAGAGAGAGAAAGAGAGAGAGAGAGAGAGAGAGAGTGAGAGTGAGAGTGAGAGTGAGAGAGAGAGAGAGTGAGAGTGAGAGAGAGAGAGAGAGACAGAGAGAGAGAGAGAGAGAGAGAGAGAGAGAGAGAGAGAGAGAGAGAGAGAGAGAGAGAGAGGCGGGACAGAGGCCGAGAGACCGAGGCAGAAAGCGAGAGATGCCTAGAATAATTATGATAATGAATTGATATAGATATATAGTTTGTTATAATAGTCATATCAATAATCTATACCGATATGATAATAACATGATATAAGCATAGAATATTATCATAGTGTCAAGAATTTAACAGTCAACGTCGTTGCTGACTTTGGCATCCCTGCAAACGGACGACTGACGTAAAAACTGTAATCCACATCAACTATCGTTTCCATTGCGTTTAAACGTGTGCCTAAGAAAACAAAATTATGACCTGGTTTGCAAACAGGTGGTGAGGTACACATCACACAAAAATACAAACATTAAACGATTAATATTTGTTCACCATAGACTCTGATCTATCATATTTAAAAGAATCTGTGGCAGTAATGAAGGAATTTCTGTATAACTTGATTTATCATCAGTTTAATGACCGCCGTATCGAGCTAATATGGTAGTTTATGATTTAAGGGAAAACGAGCAACTTAAGGGAGAGCGGGCAACAACACCATCCTGATGTATATAGTACAGTCAGCAGTGATAACTCTATTGTATGATGATAACTATTCGTAATATACATATGATTACTATCCACCATGAACGAAAATTTGGAGAGGATAACGAGTGTAATTATAATTTAATATAATTTCCAAACAGATTTCTTTCACATAAACATGAAACAACAAAACAGTCGTTCATATTCCCTCGCACTTATTCAAAAACCAAACGGCTTGTTTTTCAAATCTGTTTCGTTTCAAAAGCAGTTTCGGTGTGACGTCATTTAGGCTTACCGTAACGAAATGCAAGAAAATGGCCGACATAAACATTGTATTTTCCCGTATTTAGTAAGTAGAAATTATAGCAGTCTACAATTCAAGAACTTTTTAGGTTTACGGAGCATGTTAATATGTTATGAATATATCATCTCATTCAGTATTTTTAATATATTTGTTTGTTAATATATTTATTCTATCTATTTTTTTATTGACAAGCAGTTAACTGTCCAGTGTTCGATAAATTTACACTCATTTTCACCTTTTACCATTTTTTTGTATTTGTTCAATTTTGTTTCATTTCCTTTTTGCATTTTTAAAAAAATCTGTTCACACTTAACAAGCAATGACTTTTCTGCCTCATTAAGCATGTTTAGATTTTTTCTTTAATAATGAAGGAAAGAGTTAATTTTCTGCCTCGTCGCCACGTTGATTTATTGATGTTGTTTTTGATGTTGCTGTTAGTATTACTGTTATTACTGATAGTGTTATTATTGTTGTTATCCGTGTTATCATTATTGCCAGTATTTCTGTTATTTTTGTTATTGATATTATTTTTTTATCATCATAAACATCATCTTTACTATTATTATTATTATCATTATTGTCATTGTTATTATTATTATTATTATTATTATTATTATTATTATTATTATTATTATTATTATTGTTGTTGTTATTATTATTATTACTATTATTATTATTATCATTATTTTTTATTATTATTATTATCATTATTTTTTATTATTATTATTATCATTATATTATTATTGTCACTATTATTATTATTGTTATATTATTATTATCACTATTATTAATATTGCTGTTATTGATATTATTAATATTATTATCATCATCATTATTATTGTAGCAGTAGTAGTAGTTGTAGTATTGCACATTATTATCATTATAAGTATTATTATTAGTATTGTCAATATATGTTATAAGTATTACTATTATCATCGTTATTATTACTTTGAATATTATTATTGTTATTACTATTATTATCATTATCATTAGTGTTATCATTACTATTATTATCATTATTATTGTTACTTTTACTACTAGTACTACTGGTGCTGTTATTTATTACTATTGTCACCATGATTGTCATTATCATTAGCATTAGTATTATAAGTGTTATCATCATTATCACTATTATCAAGACCACTATTATTCGTAGCGTCGTAAATGTAAGAATTAATGATCATGATTATGGTAGAATGGTTGTAGTGATAGTAGTGGTAGTGGTAATAACAAATGATGATGATAATAGTGATTGTTATAGTGACAGTGATACCGATGGTGATAGTAATGATATTAATGATGATAATGATAATAATGATATTGGTAATGATAATAACAATGATGACAGTGATAATGGCGGCGCCAGCGACCTTCCCCTCCCCCCCCCTTGCCTGTAGCTGAGCACGTGTTTCTCCACGCAGGGATCCGAGGGCCAAGGGAAGCCTCAGACCTGCCAGGCTACCGGTGGCGGCAGGCGGCCTATTCCATCATTTTCCTTCTCAACAAACCTGCTTTTCTCCCAGCGCAGTGCCACCAGCCTTCAGCGCGGAGGGGAGTGCCGCGGCTGCTCTGCCTCTCGAATGCCAGACGTACACTGCCTGCTCTGCACCCGTTGCCCTTCTCTGTCGCTCTTGTCATTCTTGTCATTCTTGTTCTCTGTCATTCCGAGTGCTAGTGCTAAGTGTTTGTCATTTCTGTTACTGTTGTTATTGTTTTTGTTATTATTATTGGTACTGTTTTGATTGTTATCGTTATTATTCTTGTTACTTTTATTTTCGGTATTCTTTATTACTTTTATTTAATTCTATCGTTATTATTATTATCATTTTTATTATTGATATCATCATCGTCATCATCATCATCATCATTATCAACTTCATCATCATCATCATCTTCATCCATTTCACATTTATTATTATTACCATTATTGTCATTATCAGTATAAATATAGCTATTGATACTAATGCTATCATTATCATTTTTGTTATTTTTCATATCATTATCATCATCACCATTATCATCATTATCCTTACCATTTAAATACACCAATATAAGCACCTTTACTGCCTAAGAAAAAATGAAAGAAATAAATCGAACAAAATCACACGCAGATTTATTCTTCGCTGAACAGATTTCCAAACTCATAGGTTCCTTTCGGCTTTAGAGCGCGGTCCACAGAGCGTTTCCTTCTGAGAGAGTATTAGTGCACCGAATGTGGGCCAGATATCAAGGCCAGGATAACAGATAGCAAAAAAAAAGTCTTAGTAGCAGATTGCGTTAGGGATAAAAAAAAGAAAGAAAAAAAGAGAGATTTGATTGATTAAAATAACTACAAATTATCTTATTGGTTTCGAAACCCAAACCGCTATCTGATTCATTGACTATATGATTTCATATTAATGTCGATAAATCCTTCCCCCCCGCCCCCAAGAAAAGGCTATATATCAAGATTCATTAAAAAATGTGAATATCGAGACCCAAAAGCACAATCATTTCATTACAAGAAAATAATAATAATAATGATAATAATAATAAAAAAAACAATAATAGTAGTAGTAGTAGTAATAATGATGATGATGATAATAATAATAGTAATAATAATGATAAAAATAATAACGATAGAAAAACAAAGACTACGATATGAGCATCAGAGCCAAAAAAAGGTCATTCGGTTACAAGGAAAGAAAAAAAAAAAAAAAAGCAAGAACAAGCCACAAATCATCCTCCGAAAGGGCAAACCATGACCGCCCGCCCCCCCCTGCCGCCTCCTGGGATGGTCGGGGGGGAAGCAAGGATACGTATGTTGTGCCTGTTGTCTCCTCTGCTTTAGACGCACCTGCACCATTCGTAGTCTCTGTCCCTTGGCTCCGGGGTACGCGGTGCAGTCAGGGGGGGAAGGGGGGGGAGGGAGGGAGGGGAGGGGAAGGGGAAGGGATGGGAAAGGGAGGGGAGGGATGAGAGGAGAAGGGTTAGGGGATGTAAGGGAAAGGAGGGGGTGGGATGGGAGAGGAAGGGAGCGGAGGGGAGAGAGGGGAGGGGAGGGGAGGGGAGAGGTGAAGAGGGGAGGGGAGGGAGGGGAAGGGAAGAGAAGGGAAGGAAGGGGAGGGAAGCGGTGGGAAGGAAAGGGAAGGGAGGGAGGGAGGGAGGGAAGGAAGGGAATCGAAAGTGACAATAGATTCTTTATGAGGGGGGAGGGGAAGGGGAGGTCAAACGGAATAAGAGAAAATGAAACAGTAAATCCTGAAAGAATGATATTAGATTTTTGACTATTACCTCTTGCTTCATGGTTAAAAATCCCAGCGAAGTATCGAGCGAAATAAAATCGCCCAACAACATACATATATTTCCTCCTCAAAATCTATATCAATCTATATATTCCGTTTACGTCATTCAAGATATTATTATTATTTTCTCGTTCATTTATTTACTCCCTCATTTTATTTCATTTCATTTATTTAATAATTTATTTCATTTCATTTATTTCATCATTTATTTCATTTCATTTATTTAATCATTTATTTCATTTCATTCACTTATTAATTTCATTTCATTTATTTCTAAATTTCATTTCATTTATTTCTAAATTTCATTTCATTTATTTCTAAATTTCATTTCATTTATTTCTAAATTTCATTTCATTTATTTCTAAATTTCATTTCATTTATTTCAAAATTTCATTTCATTTATTTCTAAATTTAATTTCATTTATTCATTTCATTTACTTATTCAAACACTTTATTTCACTTCACCGCATTCCTTTCCTTAATTACGAATCCCAAAGGCCGCCAAGTGCTGACCCCCTCCCCCCCTCCCCCCCAGGCCTGTCCCAGCTGGAGAACGCGGCCGCGCCCACCGACGCCAAGGAGACGCCCCGCAAGACCAAGGGCGTGATCCCCCACCTGGGCCACCTGCCGGACCTTAACAAGCTCTCGGACGTCATCAGGAACCTGGTGATGGGCAACGTGGTGTTCGTGAAGCCCATCCTGAAGCCGAGGAAGATCTGCATCTACACCTGCGCCGACCTCAAAGGTGGGCGGCTAATTCTTCCTCTTCTTCTTCTTCTTCTTCTTTTCCTTTCCGTTCATCTTCTTCTCTTTTGCCTTTATCTTCTTTTTCTTGTTTTTCTTCTCCTTCTCCTTTTTCTTTTTCTCCTTCTTTTTCTTTTTCTCCATCTCCTTCTTCTCCTATTATTATGATTATTATTGACAGTAGTAGTAGATTTACTTTTATCATTATTATTATGATTACTACTATTATTACCATATTAGTATTTCTATATCATTGTTATTATTGTCGTTTTATCTCTAGTACTCATTATCATCAAAATTTCTATTAGTAGCAGTAATATAACTGTCAGTATTGTTATCTTTGGCATTCGTATTATCATTGGAATTATAATAAAAATATTCATTATCATCACCATAATCATCCTTATTGTCAAATTGTGTCTTATAGGAATATATTCAGTTCTCCTCGTCCAGATATTTTGGCGTTTCCCTCATTCTGTCTCGTTATTGCCTGTGCTCATTCTCCTCATTTTCACATAAACGGTGTCCTCTTCACTCTTACTTATTCCCTTGCCCTCTCTCTCTCTTTCTCTCTCTCTCTCTCTCTCTCTCTCTCTCTCTCTCTCTCTCTCTCTCTCTCTCTCTCTCTCTCTCTCTCTCTCTCCTCATTCCTGCTACTCACTTATTCTGTATTTTCACATTTTCCTTTGCCACTTATCTGTTTTTGTCTCTCTCCCCATTCCACCTCCCTCTCCCTCCCTCCTCAATCCACCTCCCTCTCCCCCTTTCCCTCCTCCCTCCCTCTCCCTCCCACCACATCCCACCTCCCTCTCCTCCCTCCCTCTCCCTCCTTCCTCAATCCACCTCCCTCACCCCCCTTTCCCTCCTCCCTCCCTCTCCCTCCCACCACATTCCACCTCCCTCACCCCCTTTCTCTCCCTTCTACCACATTCTTCCTCCCTCACCCCCCCTTTTCTCCCCCCTCCCGCAGACACCATCATGGAGCGGTCGGCGCTGATGGAGCACGTGTACCCGAAGCTGCGTCTGTACTGCATGGAGAAGGGATACGAACTGAACATCGTGGACCTGCACTGGGGCATCCCGGACGAGCACCTCAACGACCACTCCTTCAAAGAGCTGTGTCTCGGGCAGCTCACCAGTGGGTATTCTTTCGGTTGAGGGGGGTTTGGAGGGAGGGAGGGAGGGGGAGGGGTTAGTGGGTATGGGGTGTATGTGCGTGTTGGGGGTACTTGGGTTGGGAGGGGTTTGGAATGTGAGTGTGGATGTGTGGATGTGTGTACGTGGGAGTGTGTGTGTGTGTGTGTGTGTGTGTGTGTGTGTGTGTGTGTGTGTGTGTGTGTGTGTGTGCATGTGTTTGCATGAGTGATTAATTCTTGATTTCATTAATTATTTGTTGATTAGTACCTGGTTTGTAGTTCGTAGACGACATTTTTTTTTGTCTAGTGAAATTGTAAACCGGATGCGTTGTAACGTTAGAATAACTTTTAACGCCCATTAGCCATCCATAATTTACACAAACACACGCAGAAAAGCGAACCTTGAATCTCCTCTCCAAGTTCCTTCCCGACAAAAACAAAACAAAAACAAAACAAATAAAAACTAAACAAAAGCAAAACAAATAAAAAATAACAAAATCAAAACAAATAAAAACTAAACAAAATCAAAACAAATAAAAACTAAACAAAATCAAAACAAAAACTAAACAAAAGCTAAACAAATAAAAACTAAACAAAATCAAAACAAATAAAAACAAAACAAAAGCAAAACAAATAAAAACTAAACAAAATCAAAACAAAAGAAAAAAACAAAAAACAAAACAAAATACAAGCAAGAACACACACAGACCCTACCATCGACTTCCTCCCTCCTCTTTGACCTTTGACCTTTGATCCCCTCGACGTCTCCAGCACAAATTTTGGACTTCCCGCCCCCTCGCCACGCCCCTCGCCACGCCCCCTCGTCCCGCCCCCTTTCTCTGACTCACACAAGAGCTTCAATTTCTTCTCCTTCCTCCGTACTGAATGACTCCCCCAACAAACCCAACGCGGACAGCTGCGACCAGAGACACCTTCCTGAAATAAATAAATAAATAGATAAACAAGAACACCACAAAAACAACAACAGCAGCAAGGCCAACGTTCCCCCCCCCCCCCCCGCCAACTCAGACCAGACCCCCCTTCCCTTCCTTATTAAAACAACATCAACAACAACATAGCCAACCCCTTCCCTCCCTCCAGACCACAGACACCACCACCTAACCACTAACCCCCTTCCCCTCTCTCTCTCCCCCCTTCTCCCACCCCCTCCCCCCCTCCAGCCCAGGCCCGGGACTCGCACATCGTGACGGTGGTGTTCCTGAACGAGACTTTCGGCAACGCCCTCCTGCCGCGCGTGATCGAGGGCCCCGACTTCGACCAGGCGATCTCGGCCATGGAGCACGACACCGACAGGGAGCTCTTCTGGAAGTGGTACCACTGGGACGAGAACGCGCAGCCGCCCTGCTACAAGCTGCAGCCCATCAGCACCTACATCCCCAACATCAAGGTGAGGGGGACGGGGAGAGGGGAGGGGGAGGAGGGGGAGGGTGGGAAGGGTGAAGAGGGGGAGGGGAGAGGGGGAGGGGAGAGAGTGGGAAGAAGGGGAGGGGAGGAGAGAGGAAGAGGGAGAGAGAGAGTGGGAAGGGAATAGGCTTTTTAGGTGAAGGGTTAAGGTGACGCTTTAAGCCGCAGCCGATCAGCCCCTTCTTCCCCAATATCAAGGTGATGATTTCTCTCTCTTCTCTTCACTTCGTTCCTCTTCTTTCCTATTTTCGTCTTCCCTCTTCTACTCTGTCCCCTTCTTTCTCTCCCCCTTCTTTCTATCTCTGTCTTACTCCACCCTTCTCTCTCTCTCTCTCTCTCTCTCTCTCTCTCTCTCTCTCTCTCTCTCTCTCTCTCTCTCTCTCTCTCTATATATATATATATATATATATATATATATATATAAATATATATATATATATATATATATATATATATATATATATATATATATATATATATATATACATATATATATGAAAATATATATATATATATATATATATATATATATATATATATATATATATATACATATATATATATATATATCTATCTATCTATCTATCACCCCCCCCCCCCCCCCGCACTCACTCTCATATTAGTTTCCTCTGCAAAGGGAGAAACAGCTCTATGCAAAGAAACAAATTACAATGATAATAACTGTAGTAATATTAATGATAAGGATAATGATGATGATGATGATGATAATAATAATAATAATAATAATAATAATAATGATAATGATTTCAATAGTGATAATGATGATGACAGTAATACTAATGTTGATACTAATGTTGCTAATACTAAAATCAATACTAATGGTAACGATACTGCTAATGAAGATTGTGATAATAATCATGATAATGATGTCAATAACGACGATGATAGTAAAGATAATCAGGAAAACGAATGAAAACAATAGGATTCGACTTAATAAAACACACACACAAAAATACAAATAAGAGTAAATGATAATAATTAGAAACAAATACACAAACTACAAATAAAAAGACAAGTGCCAAGCGCCGGAGCCGTGACCGTGGCTCTCCGTTGCAGGACAGCAACAGCGCCAGCCTGCACCAGGAGGCCGTGCAGGACTGGAACAACGAAGTCAAGAAGATGATGACGCTGATGAGGATGGTGTTCAATCAGGAGCAGAAGGAGAAGTACCTGTCGACGGTCATGGAGCAGGTGAGGCCTCCCGTCGGCGCCCGGGGAGAGGGGGCGAGGGTCAAGGGAAGAGGGCCGGGCTTCGGTGGGAGGCTGGCAGCTTTATTTCTCAACTGTGGGAGGCTGTGGGAGGCTGTGGGGGATGCTGGTTAAGGGCTGTGACTCGATTTGACTTTGCTTCGTTCTCCTGCATTTCATTTATTGATGTATTCATTCGTTTACTCGTTTATTTTTGAGGCTCCGAGGCTGATAAGAAATAAGGGCTGAGTTGTGCCGTCATTTGTTTTTTTGTTGTTGTTGTTTGATCTGATTAAATCTAATAATTATTTTTTTCTCAGAGGAAGATTAACTTGACGAGTTGGAGATGAAATTATATTATATAATCTATCTAACTTCTCGTTAATTATAACAAGAATAAGATAGATACAAGGATACTGACGATGATAGTAATGATAATAATGATAATAGTGATAACGATAAAATATATATAAAAAATGAGATTAACCCACCTTCTACGCCCCCCCCCCACGCCCACAGGAGATCAAGCAGAGCGTGTTCATGAACCAGGAGAGCGCCAAGCACTGCCTGTGGATCTGCCGCAAGTTCACGCACTTCCCGTCGCACAACATCCCGGCGCAGGGCAAGGTGTACGTGGCCGTCGAGCCAGAGAGCAAGAAGAGACTCGACATCCTGCAGAGCGAGCTTAAGGTGAGGGGAGAGAGGGGAGAGGGGGTGAGGGGGAGAGGGGGAGAGGGGGGGTGAGGGGGAGAGGGGAGGGGTGAGGGGGTGAGGGGGGGTGGAAGGAGGGAGGAAAGGGGGGTAGGGAAAGGGAGGGAAGGAAGGAGAGGGTGGGTGAGGGAAGGAGGGGAGGAAAGCGGGTAGAGAAAGGGAGGGAGGGAGAGAGAGCAAGAAGAGACTCGACATCCTGCAGAGCGAGCGTAAGGTGAGGGGGAGAGGGAGGTGGGTTGGGGAGGGAGGGAGAAAAGGGAGATAGGGGAAGGTAGGGAGGGAAGAAGGGAAGGAAGGAGAGGGTAGGTGGGGGAAGGAGGGAGGGAGGGAGAGCAAGAAGAGACTCGACATCCTTCAGAGCGAGCTTAAGGTGAGGGGGTGAGGGAGGGAAGGGAAGGAGGGAGGGAGAAAAGGGGAATGGGGATAGGGAGGGAAGGAAGGAGAGGATGGGTGAGGGAAGGAGGGAGAAAAGGGGGATAGGGAAAGGGAGGGAGGGAAGGAGAGGGTGGGTGAGGGAGGTAGGGAGGGAGAAAAGGGGAAAAGGGAAGGGAGGAAGGAAAGGACAAAAAGGGAGAGGGAAGGAGAGGGAGGAATGGAGGGAGGGAGGAAAGGAAGGGAAAGGGAGAAGGAGCATGAAGAGGCTGGACATCTTCTGAAGTCAAAGTGATGGAGAGAGGGAGATGGAGGAAGGGAGGGAAGGAAGGAGGGAGGAAGTGAGTGAGTGAGGGAGTGAACTCAAGGTAAGGGCCTCTGGTGAGTGAGGGTGAGTAAGTGAGGGAAAGTGAAGGAGTGAGTGAGAGTGAATGAAAGAGTTAGAGTAAGAGTGAGTTAGTGTTAGAGCGAGAGTCAAGTGCAGGTAATTTATAGTGAGGGAGATTTTAAAATTACTGATATAAAACCCTTTTAGGTAGAAAAATAAAGCCTTTGTATCTGCATCTCTCTCTCTCTCTCTCTTTCTCTCTCTCTCTCTCTCTCTCTCTCTTTCCCTCTCTCCCTCTTTCCCTCTCTCTCTCTTTCTCCCCCTCTCTCTCTCTCCCTCCCTCCGCCCCCCCCTTTCTCTCTCTCACCCTTTCTCTCTCTCTCTCTCTCTCTCTCTCTCTCTGTCTCTCCCCCCCCCCCCTCTCTCTCTCTCCCACCCTTTCTCTCTCCCTCCCACGCTCCCCATCCCCTTCTCCCTCGTTTTATCATAATACCCACTTCGTTCTCTTTCTCTCTCTCTCTCTCTCTCTCTCTCTCTCTCTCTCTCTCTATATATATATATATATATATATATATATATATATATATATATATATACATATATATATATATATATATACATATATATATATATATATATATATATATATATATATATATATATATATATATATAGATAGATAGATAGATAGATAGATAGATAGATAGATAGATATATAGATATATAGATATATAGATATATATGTATATATATATAAATCTTTCTTTGCTCGCCCGCCCCAGGAACGCCTGGACGAGATCCGCATGCTGAAGTTCCGCGTGAAATGGCACAACTCCGGCATGAACCCCGAGGTGCCCGAGCATGCGCAGTACGTGGAGGACCTGTGCGCGCAGATCTCGCCGCTGCTCATCTCCATCATCGACGGCGTCATCGAGGAGGACGAGACCAAGGTACGGGGTTGCGAAATGCCGCGAGGGGGGGGGGTGATGGAGATGATGATGGTGGTGGTGATGATAATGAGGATGATAGTAGTAGTGATAATGATGATGAATAAATAATAATGATAATGATAATAGTGATGGTGATGATAATGATGATGATAATTATGATAAACAGATAATAAACTTAGAAAAAATGAAAAAAATGAATGTATATAGAATCATTTAAATAAAGATGAAGCATTTACAAACACCGCTTCAGCACATTAATCTCGCCACTTTCCTCTCCCTTCCTCTCTCATCGCCACCTACTCCTTCTTCCGTTCCAGGAGGAGCTGAAGTCCTACCTCGGCATCGAGAAGCGGCTGTTCCACGAGCTCATGCAGCAGTCGCTCATGTGCCAGTTCCGCTACAAGAACTTCCAGGGCCGCCAGGAGCTCCTGACCAAGATTAGGAGGTGAGGAGGGGGAGGAGAGGTCGGAGGGAGGGGGAGAGGAGGAGAGAAGGAGGGAGAGAAGGAGAGAGGGAAGGAGGCAGGGAGGGGAGAGGGAGGGAGAGAGGGAGTGGGAGAGGAGGAAGCAAGCCTTCATGTATTATTAGAAATAATTTTGCAATCATTAGAATTATATTAGTTGCACTAATAATATAGTTTATTACAATATGAAATAGCATCAATTTTGTATGATCAATGAAAATGTCAGACTAACATTAACATACCGTCAGTCTGACAAATCAGTATATCCACTATTTCTCTGCTTTATACTTGTTGATATAAATTCATTAAACCAAAGGATAAAAAGGGACACATCTCTCTACATCTTTTTTTCTCTCAAACACGAACAGAAAAATAGATAAAAATGAACAAAAGGAACAAATTACCTCGCAAACCAAAACGAAAGAAAAAAGAAAAGACAAAACAAAACAGAACTTACCAAAACCAACCAACCAATAAGACGCACATACAAACGACACACACAAACAAACCAAACCAAGCAAATATAGGCCTACACGACCCTCTCTATCACATTACACACACAATAGACACATAACACACAAAACAAACAAACCAAACCAAGCAAAGATAGATCCTCTCCATCACACACACACAATAGACACATGACACAAACAAACCAACCCAAATCCAGCAAATCTACATGACTTTCCTTTCCAACCCCCCCCCCCCACCAGGTACCTGAGCAACGACTCGTGCGTCCCCCTCATCATGCACGGCGAGGTCGGCTGCGGAAAATCCTCGCTCATCGCAAAGGCCATGGAGAGATGCTGCGAGTGGCTGGTGGACGTGCCCCTCGTCGTCAGGTAGGCGGGAAAGGGAGGCTCAGGATAAGGGAGCCGATGATAAAGGAGGAGGTGCAGGGATGATGTGATAAAGATGATGATGATAAAGGAGGAAGTGCCGGGAAGTGATAAAGATGATGGTGATAAAGGGAATAATGATGATAAAGGAGGAGGTGCAGGGATGATGGTGATAAAGATGATGGTGATAAAGGAGGAGGTGCAGGGAAGGTGATGATAAAGGGAGAAGTGCAGGGGTGGTGTGATAAAGATGATGATGACATAGGGGGAAGTGCAGAGATGGTGATGATAGGAAAGGTGATGATAGAGGGGATGATGGTGATGATAAAGGAGATGATGATAACGGTAGTGGAGGGGTGATGAAGATAATGATAGTCGCATTGGTGGTCATAATAACAATAATGAAGAGTGATGATGATAGACTTATTGGTGATTATAATAATGTAGATGATAACATTGATAATGATGAGGATGACTATGATAATGAAAATTGAGTTGAGACAAAATAACCTAATAATAGAAATGACATAACAATTATCTCAACCACACCAACAAAATCTAAATTCCAACAACAACAACAACAAAGAGACGCACGAGAGACTAACCCTTTCCCCCCTCACCCCCTCTCCCCTCCTCCCCCCCAGGTTCGTCGGCCTCACCCCCGGGTCCTCGACGACGGAGCAGGTCCTGAGGTCCATCGCCGAGCAGTGCTGCGCGCTCTTTGGAGACCACCCCGCGGAGGCAGCCAAGGTGGGTGGGGCTTGGTCGTCGGAGGGGGCGGGGCTTAGTAGATGGGAAGCTGGTGATTGGTGGAGTGAAGGGTGGGGGGGAGGTCTTAAGGGGTACTGATGATAATGATTGATAGTAAGGATAAATAGTGATAACGATGATGGTAAAAAGTATAATGATGATAATGATTCGTAATAATGATAATGAGGAGGATAAAGTTCATAGAGATAATGGTGATAATAATAATTGGCAATAATGATAATGATAGTGATACTAATAATGATGATAAAATGACAGTAGTGATAAAACTAATAATGATAATGATAATGATAACAATAATGATTATGATTATATTGATATTAACAACAACAATAATGAAGATCATAATAATACCAACACCAAACAACAATAAGACCAATACTAATCTCTCTTCTCTCCCCCTTCCTCCTGCCTTGCCCTTTCCTCGCCTTCTTCTCCTCCCCTTTCCTCTCTCTCCCCTTCCCTCCCCTTCTCCCCTCCCTCTCTCTCTCCTTCCCTTCTCCCCCTCTCTCCCCTTCCCTTTTCCCCATTCATATCTCTTTCCCTCTCCATTCCTTCCTCTTTCCTTCTCCCCTTCTCTACTCCCCCTCTCTCCCCTTCCTTCCTCCCCTCCCCTCCCCCTTCCTTTCTCCCCCTCCACCCCTTCCTCCTCCTTTCCCTCCCCTCTCCCTCCCTTCCTTTCCCTCCCTTTCCCTCCCTCCCCCTTTCTCCCCTCCCCTCCTTCCCTTCCCCTCCACAGAGCGTGCGCCACATGTCGGCCTTCCTGAAGCACGTGTGGTCGAAGGCGTGCAAGATCCGGCCGCTGGTCATCATGATCGACGGCATCGACCAGGTCAAGGGGTACGGGTCGACGTCGCTGGAGTGGGTGCCCAGCGAACTCCCCGAGAACGTCAAGCTCATCATGACGGTGCGGGACGACTCGCCGCAGATGTCGCTCCTGCAGACCATCATCGAGGACAGGGCGTGCTTCCTGAAGGTAGGGGGGGGGGGGGTGATGGAGGGGGGAAGGGGTAGGGGGAGGGAAAGGGGAGGGAGGGGGAGGGGGAGGGGGAAGGGGTAGAAAGGGGAGGGGGAGGGAGGGAAGGAGGGAGGGAAAGAGGGAAAGGGGAGAAAGGAAGGAGGGAGGGAGGGGGAGAAAGGAGGGAAGGAGGGAGGGATTGAGGGGAATAAGGGAGATACGAGGGTTGGGGGTTGTCGGGATGAGGTGGGTTGGGAGTTGGGGAGGAATGGGGAGGGTGGGTTATGTGTAGAAGTTGATATCTGAATGGGAGCATCAGCAGAGAGAGGAATGGATGCACTGACTGGCGGGTTTGTGGATAGGTAGGCAGTAGATATACACACACACTCACACACATCATATGGGTTTATACATACATACACACACACATACATACATGCATACATACATACTTATATATATATATATATATATATATATATATATATATATATATATATATATATATATATATATGTGTGTGTGTGTGTGTGTGTGTGTGTGTGTGTGTGTGTGTGTGTGTGTGTGTGTGTGTATGAATGGATAGATTGATAGACAGATAGATAAATAGATATGCATAAGCATGTAATATCTTGTTCATCTATCATTTTTTTCTGAAATATGTAAAGCCTTCTTTTTAAAATTGCATTAAAAACACATCTCTTATTAAGAAAAATCCGAAAGTTAGACGAAAAAAGTCTCACTACAAATTCCTTCATTTTCTTAACAAACCCCCTTCCTCTCATTTTGACACGCCCCCAACCTCAGTATTCTGACCCGCCCCCCTCTCCCCCCTGGCCAGATCCCGCCCCTGACGATCGACGAAGGGTACAACAAGTTCGAGGGCATCCTGAAGCAGCACCACCGCAGCGTGAACAAGGAGCAGCGGGAGTTAGTGAGCAAGTACCTGCAGGAGTGCCCGCTGCCGCTCTACGTCGAGGTGTGCAAAGACCGTGGATTTTTTTGAAGTTGGAGGAGGAAGAGGAGGAGGAGGAGGAGGAGGAGGAGGAGGAGGAGGAGGAGGAGGAGGAGGAGGAGGAGGAGGAGGAGGAGGAGGAGGAGGAAGAGCAGGAGGAGGAGGAGGAGGAGCAGGAGGAGGAGGAGGAGGAGGAGGAGCAGGAGGAGGAGGAGGAGGAGCAGGAGGAGGAGGAAGAGGAGCAGGAGGAGGAGGAGGATAATGGTGATTATGGTGGAAAGGGTTTGTAGATAAGCGGATTTATGTGTGCGGATATATATATAGATATATATTTTTTCTCTCGTTTTTGTTTCTTTGTCTTTCTTGTATTTCCTTTCCCTCCCCCTCCCTCCCCTACTTTTCCCTCCCTCCCTCCCTCCCTACCGCACCTCACGCCCCCCGTCTTTCCCCGCAGATCATGGGGCGGATGGCGTGCCAGTGGACGGGCGCCGAGACCCAGCTGCCTCTTCAGCCGAACCTCATGGGCCTCATCAACGCGGTCTTCGACGAGTTGGAGGCCGCCTATGGACAGGTATGAGGGGGGGATGTTGGCAGAGCGGGTGGGGAGTGTTGGCAGTTTTTTAAGGTCTGTTGGGGATGGTATCGATGTCGGTGATTGTAAAGGAAGGAAGGGGGATTATTGAAGAAGTGTTGGTAGTTCAGGGGTGTTGGTTGGTAGTTCTTTTAAAAGGACTGTTGGGAATGGTGTGGATGTCGGTGATTGTAAAGGAAATAAAGGGAAGCATTAAAGAAATGTTGGCAGTTCTTAAAGAGAACGTTGACAGCACTGATTACAGGTAATTTCGACAGGGATTGTTGATGATTTTTAAAAGAGTTATTGGCAGTTCTTAAAGAAAAGATATGCCAAGTTTTTTTTTTCCTAGAATCAATCTAGATAATATCAAAACAGATTATAAGGATAAAAAAAAAAATCTGCATCAGTATCCTCTAGAAACTAGAATCACTGCAAACAACACAAGAAAACACCAAGAAACCACTGGGAAAATAGAGCTCTGTGCCTCCCACGCAATTCCAGCTAATCAGCATCTGATCCCTTTTCTGATTCCCGACACCTGCCCGCCTCGCCCTCCAGGTGGAAGTGTCTCACACCCTCGGCTACCTGACGGCGGCCAAGCACGGGCTCTCGGACTCTGAGATGATCGACATCCTCTCCTGCGACGAAGCTGTGCTCGAGAAGATCTTCGTTCACTGCACGCCGCCAGGTAAGGTCTCGCTCTCGCGCTCTCTCGTGCACTCTCTCTCTGTCTCTGTCTCTCTGTCTCCTTCTCTCTCTCGCGTTCTCTCTCGCGCTCTCTCGCTTTCTATCTCTCGCTCTCGCTCTCTCTCGTTCTCGCTCTCGCTCTCGCTCTCTCTCTCTCTCTCTCTCTCTCTCTCTCTCTCTCTCGTTTTCTCTCTACCTCTCTCTCTCTTTCTCTCGCTTCTCTCTCTCTCCCTCCCTCCCTCCCCCCTCCCCCTCCCCCTCCCTCCTTCCCTTCCTTCCCTCCCTCTCCCTCCCTTCTCCCTCCCCTTGCCATCTCTCTCCCTGCCACGCCCTGACCCGCGTCCGTTCCCCTGCAGTGAGGCGGTGTCCTTCGCTCCTGTGGGTGCAGATCTCGAAGCAGGTGCAGCCGTTCCTCATGAAGACCATCGTGGCGGGCATCTGCCTGTTCACGTGGCGCCACGAGAGCTTCCGCGACGCCGCCCATGCCCGCTACCTGGGCACGCCCGACCAGATCAACATGTGCTGCACGGCGCTCATCGATTACTTCCAGGTGGGGGGGTTGGGGGGCCTTTTCTTGGTTTGTTTTTCGTTGCTTACTTCCAGGTGGGGGATTCTTTGCTTTTCTTTGCTTTTTCATTTTTTTCTTTATTTTTTAAATTTTCTTTGTTTGTTTTTGTTTCTTGCTCTTTATTTTTTTTTATTTTTTCTTTGTTTTTTTCTTTTTCCTTATTTTTTATTTTTCTTTGTTTGTTTTTGTTTCTTTTTCCTTATTTTTTATTTTTCTTTGTTTGTTTTTGTTTCTTGTGGGGGGGGATTGAATTTTAGTTTTACTTGTATTACGCTTTACGTAACGAAACACAAAATAAAATGAATGATAATAATAACGATAAATAAGTAAATGAAATAAGCAATAAAAATAATCGGATAAAAATGAGAGCCTTTCTATTTCCGCTAAAGATTTAACTTTACGACACAACATTTGTTTTTATTTATTTGTTTATTACTATTTTTTACTTGCACATTTATTTATTTGTTTGATTTTTTTTTACTTGCATATTTACTTATTCACTTGAATATTCATTGCTTTTTGCTCCTTACTAATAAAGCAACTGATCTTTCTATCAACGAACTCTTTTGACTTTCCAGTCTAATTGTCTGTTAACCATAATGACGTTTTTTCATTATGAATTTATCATTAAAGACTTTTGATTTCCTTTTCAGTCTATCGTAATAAAGGCACTAATGACTTTTTTTCATAATTTTTTTTTCCATAAATCTCACAAGCGAACGACCCTTTTCCCTTCATTTCATCACTACGTCCTTCCTTCCCCTTTCCCTTCCCCAGGTCATCACTAAGTCCTTTTTACCCTCCCCCCTCCCCCCCCCCCAGCAACTCCCTTTTCTCCCTCACTAACTCATGACTTAAAACTCTTCCCCCCCCCCCCCCCTGCCAACTCACCTCCAACGCCTCCACCCCATCCCACCAACTCATGACATCCCCCCCCCCCCCACCACCAACTCATGACACCCCCCCACACCAACTCATGACATCCCCCCCACCAACAACTCCCTCTCCTCCCTCACTAAAACTCACGACTAAAAACCCTTTCCCCCCCCCTCACCAACTCACCCCAACCCCCCCTTTCCCCCCTTCACCACTAACGCCCTCCCGCTCCCCCCGCAGAGCAAGTGGGCCAACGGCGCCAAGAAGCCCGTCCCCGTGTACGAGGCGGGGGTGGAGGAGGGGAAGGACCGCTACGTGCTGGACCAACCCACCAAGTACCGCGGGAGGTAAACAGGCACTGATGTTTATGTGGTGGCTTTTGCGGTCGTGTTTGAAATGTTGAGGGATACGTATGTGTGTGTTTTTTTTTTTTTGGGGGGGGGAGGGTGAGGAATTTAAGGATAATTCTTTTCCTTTTTTTTTTTAATTACCTTCCTCTCCTTCCCTATCTCCTCTTCATCTTCCTCTTTCTTTCTCTCTCTCTCTCTCTCTCTCTCTCTCTCTATCTCTCTATCTATCTCTCTCTCTCTCTCTCTTCTCTCTCTCTCTCTCTCTCTCTCTCTCTCTCTCTCTTCTCTCTCTCTCTCTCTCTCTCTCTCTCTCTCTCTCTCTCTCTCTCTCTCTCTCTCTTTCTCTCTTTCTCTCTCTCTCTATCTCTCTCTCTTTCTCTCTCTTTCTCTCTCTCTCTCTCTCTCTCTCTCTCCTCCCTTAACACCCTCTCCCTTTCTCTCGGCAGCAACATGTCCAAGATTTCCGTTCAGTCTCTGTTCAGCCGCCACAACCGCCGTAAGCTGGACGAGCTGCCCTACCAGGTCCTGCAGCTGAGAGGCCGCATCCTCGAGGAGTTCGTGCTCAAGTTCGACTGGGTCTACGAGAAGCTCTGCGGCTCGGACACGTACCAGGTAGGACACGGGGGAGGGAGGACACGTGCCAGGTAGGACACGGGGGAGGGAGGACACGTTCCAGGTAGGACACGGGGGAGGGAGGACACGCGCCAGGTAGGACATGGGGGAGGGAGGACACGTGCCAGGTAGGACACGGGGGGAGGGAGGACACGTGCCAGGTAGGACACGGGGGAGGGAGGGACACGTGCCAGGTAGGGACACGGGGGAGGGAGGACACGTTCCAGGTAGGACACAGGGGAGGGAGGACACGTGCCAGGTAGGACACGGGGGAGGGAGGACACGTGCCAGGTAGGACACGGGGGAGGGAGGACACGTTGCCAGGTAGGACACGGAGGAGGGGTAGGACACGGGGGAGGGGGACACGTGCCAGGTAGGACACGGGGGAGGGAGGACACGTACCAGGTAGGACACAGGGGGAGGGAGGGACAGTTGCCAGGTAGGACACGGGCGAGGTAGGATACGTATCAGGTAGGACACAGGGGGAGGGAGGACAGTTGCCAGGTAGGACACGGGCGAGGTAGGATACGTATCAGGTAGGACACGGGGGAGGGAGGACACGTACCAGGTAGGACACGGGGGAGGGAGGACACGTGCCAGGTAGGACACGGGGGAGGGAGGACACGTGCCAGGTAGGACACGGGGGAAGGAGGACACGTGCCAGGTAGGACACGGAGGAGGGAGGACACGTGCCAGGTAGGACACGGGGAGGGAGGACACGTGCCAGGTAGGACACGGGGGAGGGAGGACACGTGCCAGGTAGGACACGGGGGAGGGAGGACACGTATCGGGTAGGACACGGGGGAGGGAGGACACATGCCAGGTAGGACACGGAGGAGGGAGGACACGTATCGGGTAGGACACAGGGGAGGGAGGACACGTACCAGGTAGGACACGGGGGAGGGAGGACACGTATCAGGTAGGACACGGGGGAAGGAGGACACGTGCCAAGTAGGACACGGGGGAAGGAGGACACGTGCCAGGTAGGACACGGGGGAGAGAGGACATGT